TGACTTAGGTACGCCTGCCCCTCCCTAAACCCTCGACACTAAACTCTAAACCCTAAACCCTAAACCCTGACCCTAGACCCTGAACCCTGAACCCTAAACCCTAAACCCTGAACCCGAAACCCTACACCCTGAACCCTAAACCCTAAACCCTACACCCTGAACCCTAAACCCTAAACCCTAAACCCTAAACCCGAAACCCTACACCCGAAACCCTACACCCTGAACCCTACACCCTAAACCCTAAACCCTGAAACCCGAAACCCTAAACCCTAAACCCTGAAACCCGAAACCCTACACCCGAAACCCCAGAGGGTCTGCCTCAAGGCAGTGGCACAAAGCAGCGGCGTGGATGTGGGCTCCGGAAGGGCTGGGCCGGCGTCCGGTCGAGGCCTCTTTCTTCAGGAGGGCTTTTCTGCTTTAGGGTTTAGGGTTTAGGGTTTATGGTTTAGGGTGTAAGGGTACTCATCCGGTTGATGATATAAAATCCTGCATGACACCATAGTAAGGAATATGCCATGATTCCCATAGTTTCGGATCCTTATGCTAATGCAGGAGTTCTCCAAATGAGGGTCCCCTTTAGGGTCCGTTTTGTTAGGTGCCGCACTAGATATTTTGGGGGACCTACAAAAGGAACCCTAATATAGAGAACTACCCATATGGAGCTTCTATGAAGGTGTCAAGGGTTTTGTGCGAATTTTCATATGCTTCCTATTGGTTCGTCGCTGTTTTGTGTGAAGGCGCAAGGGGCCTTGTACATCTTCCACAGGCTCGGATAAGCCCCGACCAAGCTATTTATAACCGCAGTAATATAACATACAAAGCTCTAGGGTTCAGCAGGGCTACGTAAAGCTGGAGGGGGTATGATAGGGTTTAAACCCCAGTTTTAACAAGTTTCTCATTGCTTGGGCTTATTGGGGCTTGTAGGGTTAATTTGGTGGCTGTATGGTGTTTAAGAAGGGGTAGGGCGAGAAACGGTTCAAAACCTATAGACCAGTAACAAGAAACAGCCGTCAAAGGGATGAAGGAGACACAACTCAAATCCCAATTCTTCTTGAAAACCCTAAACCCTAAACCCTAAACCCTAAACCCTAAACCCTAGATGCTAAACCCTACCTCTGGCCTGAAACCGTGAACCCGAGAAACCAAACCTTCAACCTGATCGCCCTACACTCCTTCTATTGAGCCTTGTTGGCTTTGCAAAATCTGCACAGAACCCTGCAACATTTCAAGAACAAAACCAGTATAGAACCCTAAAGAGTCCCTTAGAACTTTTGGAGCTCCATTCTCCAGCCACGAGGAACACGATGACTCTAATAGGACCCTAAACCTAAACCCTATAGTACCCTAAACCCTCAACCCTAAACCCTAAACCCTAAACCCAAAACCCTAAACCCTCAACCCTAAACCCTAAACCCTAAACCCTAAACCCTAATCCCCAAGCCCTAAACTCTACGAAGTCCCCAGCATGGTCCTAAGCCTACGCAAAGCTGGGCCCATGGCTTCGGCTCCAGCTCAGGGGAGCCGTTGGCGGAGGACGGTTTCGAGGCCAACTCCACCTAAGCTTCTGAAAATTGGGTTTGGGGTTTAGGGTTTAGGGTTTAGGGTTTCGGGTTTAGGGTTTAGGGTTTAGGGTTTAGGGTTTAGGGCTTAGGGTTTGGGGTTTAGGGTTTAGGGTTTAGGGGATTGGTTTAGGGTTAGTTTAGGGTTTCGGGTTTTGGGTTCAGGGTGCTTCGGGTTTAGGGTATTGGGTTCAGGGTTCAGGGCTTTGGGTTTAGGGTTCTTTTGAAAGGATTCTACAAGGGTTACTGTAAGGGTTGGTGAACGCAGGCAGGGCAAGCCAGCAAGGATTTCGTGAGCCAAAAAAATGCAAGTTTAGTGCTTAGGGCTTCAGGACTTTGAGGCTTTACGGCTTCAGGGCTTTCTTTAGGGCTCTGTTATACTGAAGTCAGAAAGAAGGAACCTCTATAGTATCCGCTTTATCTCGGGGTGATAAAGGTGTACGGTTTACGGGACAAGAGGTTTTAACGCTAGGCTCCGAATACTGTTGTGCCTGGGGGGATTGGGAATCTTTTACGAATCACGGGAAACCTCAACCCTAGTGCTCAGATTAGCCACGGCCCGGCCCGCTGCCGCCAAAGCTGCACGAAGCCGCTCCAGTTCAGCATCCTAGCAGCTTGTACTGAGCTTAGGTCTTTGAAAGAGGGGGAATCCAGGGGCGTAGCAAACACGAGTAGGTCCTTTTGGAGGCTTTAGCATGCAAGGCTCTCGGTGTTCGCGTTAGGGTGACATTGAGGCACCTGTGAGCCATGAGGCCTGTGTTCCAAGACGAATGAAAGGTAAGTAACTCCTACAAGGCTGTGCAAGGATGCACGGCAAGAGCTGAAGCTTTTGGGGTGTCGTATTCGAAGACTAGCTCTCTCGTTTTCGGAATGGGTTGAGGGTTTAGGGTTTAGGGCTTAGGGCTTTCTGGCAAGACCCCGATGGCCTGCTCAGCCAAGCGCTCCTGCAGCCACTTCTCCTTGCCAGGTCGATGCGCAGGCGCTTTCTTCGATAAGACCTTTGTACGCTGAAGCCTTTCAGCAACCCAATCATGTCTTTGTGGAACGTGCATGCTGTTACAACCACGCATGATCGCTGTAGAGTAACGCTGAGGTCACATCCGACGCACCCGCAATACTTGCTTTCATAGTTGCAGCAGCAGCAGTAGCAGCAGCCATAGTCGCGGCAGTAGCAGCAGTAGCAGCAGCAGCAGCAGCAGCAGCAGCAGCAGTTGTAGTAGCAGTCGTAGAAGCAGTCGTAGTAGCACAAGATGATATAATTAGTTAGGATAGTACGCGAAGGAGGGAGTATCAGTAGCAAGAGCACAGCAGCAGCAGCAATAGAAGCGGCAGGAACGACAACCAACATGAAACTGTCAAAATCAGTCGATGCTCCTCTGGGCTTTGAAGTAACCAGGGAGAAAACAGTATAGACTCTTATTTTATAATGGTTCCTTTAAGGAACAGGTCCCAAAAAAAAGTATTCAAGTATGGTACTCCAAAGCCCAGTCCTTCACCTGGGTCTCCAGAAGCTCTGGGGAGGTCTTCCGCCGGGCGGACAAGCCATCCCGCGGAGACAAGCCATCCCGGAGGGATACCGGCGAGAAGGACTCCTCCACGACCTTGCCTGGGTCTCGGGTTCCTTGAAGGGTTCCGGGAAGGACATCTGTACCCTGGAGGGAGTCGGATGGAGAGAGGCGGAGGGAGGGACGCCGTGCAAGAAGAGGGCAACTACATTGTTACCACATGCCACAAAAGTATAGCAGCAGATCAGTGACATCACCAAACCCAAAACTGCAAGCTCCCAAAACAAAAACAAGGCTCGAAAACAACATGATGCATAAACCCTGTAGAGAGTTTAGTAGAACCCTAGAAGCCTATACAACTCTATAGAAGCCTAGAATGTATTATTAAAGGATTGTAGAATCATTGTAGAAAGCCTTGCAATGAAGCGGCCGCTCAGCCGTGAGCGCTCCGAGGACCTCGAAGAAGCCTGGAACACGTCGAGTTTTGAGGGTTTTGGATTTAGGGTTTAGGGTTTAGGGTTTTAGGGTTTTAAGGCTTAGGGCTTTAGGGTTTTAGGGTTTAGGGTTTAGGGTTTTGGGTTAAGGGTTGGTTCGGGGATTTGGGGATCTCAGCACTCACGACTCACAACTGGGACAAGCCGGGCGAGGTTACTGGTACGACGGATTTGGGGGGTTTAGAAGTTTAGGTTGTTTAACTGATTCTTGGTGGTAAAGTGGTTTCTGCCTCGGCTGATTACAAGCTTTAGCTCATTAAATGTGTTTGTCATCATCTATCACGTGCCCTGCTTTTTGCTGCAGGCATCACTACGACTGTGCGTTTCTGAACTATCGTTCTTTGGAAAAAGTGTATTGCGACCATGTCATGGCAACTGTTGTTTTTTTCATTGACAGTTAGCTTGGATCTTAAGTGGTGCTGACAAAACCTAAGTCTCGGCTGGTTGTGATGGTCAGTTGTCCTGTTGCCAAATTCATTCTTGGCATTAGTCATTATTGTTATTGGTGAGCCTTAGTCTTGTCATTGAATTCTGGCTGATACTGTGATTGTCCTGATTATTATTATTGCTGCTCGTGTGGCTTTGTCACGACGGCGACTACAGCTATTACTCTGGTTATGAGGCTGGTGATCCCGTCTTCAAACCACTACCAATACCACCAGCACCACCACCACCACCACTACCACCACGACTACTACCACGACTACTACTACTACTCCTCCTCCTGCTGCTGCTGCTACTACTGCAACTTCTACTGCTACTGCTGCCGCTACTACTGCTACTTCCATGCTGCTACTACTACTGCTGCTACTACTGCTGCCACTACTACTACTACGACCACTAACTATACGACGACGAGAAGACTACGACTACGACTACTACGACTACGACTACTACTGCTACGACGACGACGGCCACCACCACTACAACGACGACTATGACCACGCCTACTACTACTACTACTACTCCTCCTCCCACTCCTGCCGCTACTGCTACTATTACTATTACTATTAGTAGTAGTAGTAGTAGTAGTAGTACTACTACTACTACTACTACTACTACTACTACTACTACTTCTACTTCTACTACCACTACTGCTACTTCGACTGCTACTGCAACTGCTAGTGCTACTGCTACTGCTGCTGCTTCACGCACTGCTACTGCTACGGCCTGCTGCCTGCTACGGCTACGAAGGCGAAGACGACTTCGACGACTAATTACTACTACTACCACTATGCCTCCCGCCGCTCCTGCTGCTGCTGGTGCTCCTACTGAACAGAAACTTTATGAAGCACACATCATACCCTCGAGCCAACAATCTAGGCCCTAAATCCTGTGTATTCCGCGGGGCCGTAATGTCTTATAACACCATCATCGAAACCCTCTGAAACCCTTAAGATTACTTTACTCCGTTAACTTTAAACCCCTAAACCCTAAACCCCCAACCCTAAACCTTACAGTATGCTGGACCCCAAATCCTACACTCTTATCCTATACCCAAAGCCTACAGCCAAAGGCCTCCCGTAGCGAACTGAGGCTATGTGGCTCGGTTTTCCTGGGATGGCAAAAACGGCTCAGTAGGGCTGCGGGCTTGGAGTCTTTGGGTTTGAAGGATAGGGAAAAACCGAGGGATAGGGTTTGGGTTAAGGGTTCAGGGCTGAGGGATTCAACGTCGGGGCTTTTGGTGTTGTGTGTCTTGATTTTGCGTAGACTTTCAGGGCGCGAAAAATACCTTTTTAGGGGAAAGGGCTAGGGCATTAAACAATCCAGGGAGCCAGGTATGTTCGCGGCCGTTGATTTCCCCGCGAGGTTTTCACACCCACAGCTATGACGAATACAAGGGCCGAAAAAAACACTAATATTTTAAAATAGACCCCAAAGCCCTACGCCTCTATATGATGTCAACTCTGAAACTTGCAACATGGAACCCTATAAGGCTGGAAAGTGGCGACTTCCTCATGGACATGGACGGGGAGGCACTGCTCCGTGCGCTGCTGGGTGTGACGCTGCCGCTGGCCAGAGAGCCGCCCCCGAAGTGCTGGATCTTTGCGATCTCCTCTACTAGAAGAGGTTATGTAGGGGCCTTATTACTATCAATAGAATTTCGGGGGTTCCTTATTTTATTTATAGTACAGTATACCCCCAAACCCTATTCTTCTTGTTAAGGCCCCTATACTTAGGATGTTATAGAACTAATTCGGGATAAGGGCTTATGGTTGAGGGCCCAGCACCTCATCTCGGATTGCGCTCCCTCGTCCAGGCTTACTGTCACTGCAATGCGAGTTTGATGCTCGTTCTTCGTGCAACCACCACCACGAACTCAAAACCCGGAGCCCTGCAACGCTGAAACCCAAGCCCGTCCTGGAACTCCGATCTAAGACGGTCTAAAGCCATGAAGGGATCTGTCCGCACTGCAGCTTTCACGTCGCTGAGGTTCATGTTCCTGAGGCGCTGGCTTTGCTAACGGCTTATAGTGCCGAAACGCCCTACTTTGAACCCACGCATAGAGGTGCTCCCCAATGTCGAATCCCCTTTACCGGGTTCCTGCTCGTACGGATCAGGACTGATCATACATGATGAAGGATCGAGGCTACGAATTCTTTTTGCATATCTCCCATGCCAGCCCTCCGTCTCCTGCGAGCCTCCTGTTCAGCACGACTCTCATCTTTTTTCAACGCATTATTGGTGGTCGGCGAGGGTCGGCATTTCCCCGACCGCGCCACACCATGTCACTGGGTTCTCAAAAGGATGGGAGGCTCGAAGAGCTTGGGAAATTTTTTGCTTCGAGATACAACCCTACACCCTAAACCCTAAACCCTATAACCCCCTAAAAGTCTGGGCCTAGAGCTGCGGTTGTAGGATGCCGAGATTTGGGATTTAGGCGTCGGGATGAGTGACTGAGAACCCGGAATGAACCACCCACCGGCGGAGCATCTTGCTCGGTGCCGCGCAGGTCTTGAGTGAAACTGAAGCTGACAAGAGCAGTCCTCATAATCTAAACTATTTGACAGTGGCCACAAATCGATTGAAGATTGCAGTAGTAGCACCACAACAACACGAAGCAAAGTTAGAATCATGATACCATGGTAGAAACGCAGAATTCAGTTTTTATCACCCTTCCAAAACAGACAGCGCGGATAACCCTACACCTTTTTTTTGAACCCGTACTGAGGCCGATGCGTGTGACGGGAGAAAGAGCAACCCTACACCTTAAACCCCTAAACCCCTAAACCCTAAGGCCCAAAAAAAACAACAAAAAAAAAAAAAACTGGTCTCTGCCCTAAGAGAAGAAGCTGGAGAGGGTGCTCTCCTGCAGGGATCCCAGGGTCGAGGGTCCTGGCCGAGGGCTCCGCTTCATTCGGGAGCTCCCCTGGGCCAGAACGGACATGGGCTCAGCCACTCCTCTCGCCTTCCTGGTCTGGTGCTTTGGGGCTTTGGGGTGAGGATGTTTTTTTCCCTCGGGTTTTTGGGGGTTGGGGTTTAGGGTTTAGGGTTTAGGGTTTAGGGTTTAGGGTTTAGGGTTTAGGGTTTAGGGTTTAGGGTTTAGGGTTTGGTTTTGGGTTTTGAGTTTTGGGTTTTGGGGTTGTGGGTTTGGGTTCGGTGGTATAGGGCTTAGGGTTGTTACTGTAGGCCTTTGGTCGACAGCTAGGGACCCCAAACCACGTACCTGCGAACAAGTAGAGACGAAAATCGACCAAAACGAAACGACCAAAAAGAAATTCAACAGGCTAAGCCGTAAACCCTCAACCCTAAACCATTTTTTGAACCCGGAGCAAACCCTAAACCCTAATCCCTTAACCCTAAGGCCTGAAATTGACGCCAAGCTTCTGAAGGGTTTGATGGCTTTTGACCACGAACGGCCGGCCACTAACCACGGAGACCTTCCCACCACCTGGGCGCAAACAGAGGACACCACATCTAGGACGCCAAGTCATAGGATGTAGGATCCTTACCATGAATCAAAGGATCCTTACTGTGAATTATGAATCATGGGATCCGTAATTATGCAAACAAAAAACCTGATTTCAAAGATGGAGCCCGCTCCTTATTCTGTTTGAGGATACACCGGCCTCGGCAAAGAACGGGCGGGGAGGCCATCTGCATGGGCGGCCGTGGCAACATGGGCTTCGTCTCCTGTCTAGGCTCCCAAGAGACTCCAAAACCCTAAACCCTAAACCCTGAACCCTAAACCCTAAACCCTAAATAGACCGTAAACACCCGTGAATCAAAACAAACATCCCCAGAATATTTGCCTTAAGCCCTAGAGGCCCTACACCGCAAACCCTAGCCCTCAAACCCCAAGCCCCCAAACCTGGAACGCTAAACCCTACACTCTCCTAAGCTGCGTATCCCAGAGGCTCCATAAATACCGCCGTTGTGGAATTAGCCCCCTAAAAACCACAATAAGGATGGTCTTTTGGGACCTAACTCCAGAATGGTAGCAAAAATGGAGCCTCAGGGTATTCCTGAATTCGAGGGCTTTGCCTCCTCCGTCGGCTCCGGCGAGGGCTCGCAGGGCAGCTTCTCGGAGGGCAGAGTCGACAAAGTAGCCTTGCAGCTTTGGGATATAGGTAGTTGTCAAAACTATGGTCCCTTTTGGGGTACCCTAGATAATAGGTGCCGTATTATAATAAGGACCCAAAAAGGGACCATAATTTTGAAAACCACCCATATAAGTTATAAGGCTTTCAGCACTCACACTCCGACATGCCTGGGCGAGGTTCCTGGTTAAAAGGCTTTAGGGGTTATGGGTTGAGGGGTTTAGGGTTTAGGGTTGAGGGGCTTTGGGTTAAGGGGTGGGTAAGGACTTATGGTTTCAGAGGTTTAAGGCTTAGAAGTTCAAGGGTGTTGGGGGTTTGGGGTTTAAGGGGTTTTGGGGTGTTGGGATATCGGCCTAGGGATTGGAGTTGGGGCGGCCTGCTTTGCGAGGGTCATCGTAGAAGGCTGCGTCTCTTCACTGGCGCGGCGCGAGGCCAGGGAGACCAGCTGTGACACCAGGTTTGCCTTTCCCTTAGAACCCAGGTTGTAGCCTTACGTGTCCAATTTTTTCATGTCAAACGGGAACTAGGGGTTAAGCTTTCGGAAGTGGGTTCATTAAAGGAGCACACTACCTCAAAAAGGATAGAGGTTACTTACTCTACTGCCTATACGCTACTCTACTGTACTATGCTATTTACTCTACTCTACACAATACTATACTCTACTCCCTAAACCCTAAACCCTAAACCCTAAACCCTAAACCCTAAACCCTAAACCCTACAATACTATATTGCCAAGCAGCGCTGTAAGACCATGTCGAAGACCTCCGACTGAAGGATGTCCAGCAGTGGCTCGTCCCGGCTGACAAGAGCCGAGGTCCTCCGTTTAGGGTTTAGGGTTTAGGGTTTAGAGTTTTAATAAAGGGGAGTTTAGGGTTTAGGGTTTAAAGTTTTAGTAAAGGAGAGTTTAGGGTTTAGGGTTTAGAGTTTTAATTAAGGGGAGTTTAGGGTATATAGGGCTTCTATAAGGCTTCCATAAGGTATATAGACCTTCTATAAGACTCCTTTAACGGTAACTACCCACCTGAAAATGCCCTAGGTTTAGAGTTTTAGGGTGTAGGATTTAAAGTTTCAGCACGCACAACTGGGACAAGCCCCGCGAGGTTCGGGTTTGGAACTTAAGGTTTAGAGTTCAGTTTTCAGGGGCTGACTGGGGCCTAAACCCTAAACCCTAGACCCTAAACCCTAAACCCCTTATGTGTACTTCCTTTAAAGGAGCCCTAGACCCTTAATTAGACCCTAAACCCTCAACTCTATACCGAGGTCCTCGGCGTCTCTGTGGGTAAGACCGGGTAGAGGGGCAGCGGTGTAGCCCAGGACTCCGACTCCAGCTGAGCAGGCGCGACACAGAGCTGATCCTGGGCTGTTTGTTTTACAGGAATTTGAGTCACTGTAATGGCGATATAGAGACAATAGTAGGGTTTCCCTATTTATGGAAACTTGACTTGATTGTTTCAAGTCACCATGATGGGGATATATCGCAAATTTGAGTAACTTCGTTTAAGTTCCTTAACAGCAACCCAGGATCCCAGGCTGCCGTGTCGTCGTAGATGAGAGCTTTGCCCTCTTGGGGCATGGGCACGAGGCAGGGCAAGCCTGAGTTTTCCAGAAACTGGAAGTACTGCCGCGTGGAGATGTTAAAGGCATCACAGCAGGCCGCCAGGAAGTTGACGGTGTAAACCTTTTCGAAATCCTCGGGCTGCATCTGCGACAAGACTCGGAAGAAGTACGCATCATCGACGGCAAGCCCAGCAGCCAACACATAGCGAAAGCATCGGCTGAGGAACACCTCGCCCCTGTCGGGCTCGCGCTTCGGGTCGGCGAGGATTCGCTGGTAGTGCTGGATCTTATCTACCTGCGCCATGTAGATGGAGTGGGCCTCCTGCCTCTTCTTCTCCACGTGCACCCGGTGAGGCTTCAAGTAGTGGAGCACAGAGAGGTGGGTGGCCTTGTCGGATTCGCACTGCGGCTGGCCAATGACACTGGGAAGGATGGATTGCTCCTTCATCTGCTGGATCTCCGTATGGTCGTACTGGATTCGCTTCACTCTCCGTTGAAGGCTGTCACTGAGGCTCCCCTGTCTCCGCACGAAGGCCGAATGGAAACGGCCGGCGCGCCTCTCGCACTTCTCGTAGGAAGTCGTGCAAGCCTTCACCACATCCTTCATGTGAGCCTCCGCCTTCTTCTCATGCCTCTCTACCTCCTTCAGAAGCTTCATGCGAGCCTCGTCGTCCTTCTCGCGGAGCAGCAGCATCTCCGCCGCGGAGATGCACTGGAGATCCCATCTCCAAGCCCTCGCATGCTCCGCCCCCCGGCGGAGCCTTTTGTTGCGCACCAGGTTCTTGTCAAGCCTCGCTTGCCTCACTTGACAAGCCGGCGTAGGGAAAGTAAAGGTTGACCACTACATAAGAAAAATCGAAAACCCCTTAACTGCTAAACGCCCAAAACATTAATGAGGAAAAAGAAGCCTTTCCAGCAAGCCTTATAGCAATCCTTACACCCGACATAGTAAAGTAACCCTTCTAGCCCACCCCTAAGGCAACCCTATTTAGCAACCCCTTGTAGTAGTCCAAACAAGAAATTAAACTACTACTAGGTTGCTGCTCCGCAATGGAGAGGGCCAACTTCGCCGACGCTTGTCCTTCGTCGAATGCCCCACGGCGACCGCGACGAAGCGACCTTGGAATGACCCTTATAGACACCCTGGTAACCCTTGTAGCAACCCTTTTTTCTAGCGAGCGCAGTGAGCTCTCAGCACAACCTGGTTCGCAAACAAGAGCACCAACGTCATCTTTCATGAGATTACCTCGTGTCTTACTTGGAGAGGCTGGCCGCTTTTGTGTGCCATCATCCGGAACTAAACAGGATTTGGCTTTTGAAGAAACGGCTGCCTGACTACTTGGAGATGGGCAACATTGCTAGGATCAAAGATGGCCATGGGATAACAGCCCTTCAAGAGGAACCCAAAGAAGAACACTTGAAGGTGCCCTGTTAGTAAACGGAAGAACGAGGGAACCCGAAAACGAACCCAAAAAGGACCCTTATGGTAAACCCTAAACCCTAAACCCCAAAAGGAATACAAGGAACCCTAAACCTAAAACGAACAAAAGGACCCTAAACCCTAAACCCTAAACCCGAATTCCCGAAAAAGGAGTTCTCTAAACCCTAAAGCCTAAACCCAGGAGCCCAGCCCAGCGACCCGACAATCTTTGGCTCGAGGTGTTGGTGGCCAGGCAGGGAGTCTAAGAACTCGTCCATGAGAAGCTGGATGGCCTTAGGGCTTCAGGGTTTAAGGCTTAGGGGTTTTTAGGGTAGGGTTTAGGGTTTAAGGCTTAGGGGTTTTTAGGGTTTAGGGTCCATGAGGAGCTGGATGGCCTTAGGGTTTTTAGGGTTTAAGGCTTAGGGGTTTTCAGGGTTTAGGGTCCATGAGGAGCTGGATGGCCTTAGGGCTTCAGGGTTTAAGGCTTAGGGGTTTTTAGGGTTTAGGGTCCATGAGCTTAGGGTTTAGGGTTTAAGGCTTAGGGTTTTTAGGGTTTAGGGTCCATGAGGAGCTGGATGGCCTTAGGGCTTCAGGGTTTAAGGCTTAGGGCTTTTTAGTTTTTAGGGCCCCGAAGCCCTGAACCCTTTAGGGTTTAAGGCTTCTAAGGCTTAGGACGTAGCGTCAAAGGTAGGGCGTGTGGTTCAAGGTCCAAGGCTTGGGGCTGCGATTCTCACACTCGCACAAGGCAAGCAAGGCTACAGGCGTTGGGTTTAGGGTTTATAGGCCCTAAACCCTTAACCCGAAACCCTAAAACCTATAGGTTTAACTTCCATCCCTAAACCCGAAGCCCTACGACCTCCCAAACGAGGTGGAGAGGCTCTTGGCTTGGCTTTGAGGCTCGGGGTACTGGGTTCAGTTTTTCTTAGTTCCCCAATACCCAACCTTTAAACTTTTTGCGTTCTTATAGTTTTGTAGCAATCTGTTTAGCCTTTTATTTCCCTGGCTTATTGGGGAAGTAAGTGTTGCGTGTCCGGCACTTTGGCGCTAACCATGCCAAGCCCACCGAGGCTCTATTCCCCGACTTACGAGAAGCTTAGACCAGGATTTCTGTTCATTTGTGTTTATGCCCTGCTTCCGAAACACACCGTGGGGTGCCTCAAACTGGGCCCTCGAAAGTGCAAAGAAGGATCCAAGCAGAGGACAAACGTGCGATAAGTATTTCTGATTGCTCATTTCGGGTTCAGGGCTCGCAGCTTTAAGGCTTTGGCGTTGCCGGTTTCACGTCTTGGAGTCTGAAGGGCGTGGCTGGGGAGTCTAGCTGGCTTGGGTTCAGGGCCGATAAGATTTATGTATCGAAGTGTTAAGTAGGTAGTAGGTGTTGGAGCTCAGTACTTTAAGACCCTACTGCCTACTGGCAAGCGCTTACGGAAAACAAGGTTCTGAAACCTTACTTCACGGCTCGGGGGAAATGGTAAGAATACACAAACAGGAATACCTTTTAAGCCCACATAAAAACCCTATACATTAAAAAACCATGATGCCAAGCTACACTCGGCGACGACATCTCATCGGCCACTGCGGCTAGCAGGGAAGCTGCTCGATACTGGTACACGTGATTCTCCGCCGTCAGCAGCTTCTCCATCTCCGGTTCGCCGAAGATGCCTGAATTGTGAGCTTAAAGCAGCTTAAACTCCTGAACCTGATGCTGCATCACCATCGTCATCATCATCATCATCACCATCATTATCACCAACATCACCATCATCATCATCATCCTCAACCATCAACCATCAACCATCACCATCACCATCACCTTCATCATCAGTCCCAGAATGGTTCGGAACGTTATGACGATGGGTATGATTATGACTGTGGATGTGTTTACGCTTATCCTTATCATTGTGGCTCTTGTTGTGACTGCCTACGTACTCCGTTTCACATACGGCTTCGAGTGTTTCTTCGGGTATGGAACGCTCTGAGAGGGATCGGAGGGGCGAACCCTTGTTCGAGTGCCAAGGAATAGTTTAGTGACCGAAAAAATTACCAACACTATTTCGGGGCTCCCTGTTGTCATTATCATTATAGACAGATAACCCCCAAGCCCTATTCGACTTATGGAGGCCCCGAGAGTACCCACTATCACTCCGATATATTGCGGCTCGTCGTTTGCACAGCTCCGGCTAGTTCTGTTGCGACAGTTCTTACTACGACTGTTATTCAATGTTAATCTTACTTGCTTGGATATTGACACTCATTTCAGACTCTCAGAATGTTAATATCTACTCTACGTTGTTTCTACACCCCACAGTATTCGTAAAATCGTGAAAATTAGGTGGAGATGCTTGTCAGCATCTCATCCAGCGTGGGGTTCCGCTCTGCCTCTCGACGTAGCTTCCTCTGCTCGCGGCGGCGCAGGTTGGTGCGGCGCCACTGCGGGATGTCGTGCACCGTGGGGAGTGGGACCTCCCGCTTTGCCACGGTGAGTCGTGGGACGTGCTCCATCGGGGCGATGTCCTCGTCCTTCCGGGGATCCACTGCCAAACTCCAGAGCTTCGTCAAGACTGCGGTGGGCACCTTTTCCTCTGTAATCCGATAGGAAAGCCACAGACCGTCGTCCTGCGCATAGTCCGGCAGCACCGGGGCTGTTTCCTCAGGCTTCTCTTCTGGAGCTGGAGAGATGTTGGAGCGCGTTCGGGAAGGTGGCCTGCAGTCCTCTGGAGCTGGAGAGATGTTGGAGCGTGTGCGCGATCGGGCCCTGCCTTCTTCTGGAGCTGGAGAAATGGTCGAGCGTCTGAGCGATCGTGCTTTGAATTCCCCTGAAACAGGAGAGATGGTCGAACGCGTCCGGGATCGGGGCCTGCATTCCTCTGGAGCTGGGGACATGTTCGAGCGCGTCCGCGATCGGGGCCTGGATTCTTCAGCATCTGGAAAGCTCTGGAGCTCGTCTGGGGAGGGCGTGCGCAGATAAGGTCGCGCAGTCTCTTTGACTATTTCAGACTGTGGCAAAATGGTCGTCTGGCCACCTCTGGCCAGCCGCACTCGCCGGCTAGAGGTGGCGATCTCGTCCAGCAGATCGCGCCAGCCCATATCAATCTCCCGATGTAAGGGCAGCCTTAACTAGGCTTACTTTTTGGTACCTTCTAAAAGAGCCCTACCGTGGAATTTATACACACCCTACAAAACAGGCAGGTTTGGGTAGGTGAAGCAGCTGCTTCGGCTCTGCATCGCTGGCGCGACCACGCCGAGAGCGCTGCTTTGCTTGCTTCGCTGTGGCTTCTCGAGCAGCGGTGATCGGAGACATATCCTGGGTTCTATCGTGGGCTTAGGGGTTGGAATGTGGATCTACAGTGAATGAGATGCTTTCCTTCTTGTGGCCACTTCAAGAAAGCTCTTAAAAAGACGAGCCCAGCATCTCTTTGGCGATGACCTTGTGCAATCCTAGCAGATCTGTCTACACTTGGCCTGGTTGTCCGAGCCGGCTTCTGCAGGAAAGGCCGGACCCTCTGATTGGGCCGACCGTGCCCAGCGCGCTCGGTCTGCGCGGCGTCGGTGTAGTGCTCTTCGTTCAGGGGCGTCAAGGGGATGAGCAAATCTGCCGGCTTCGCCGGCTCCTTCATCTCATCCCGATGCATGAAGTGTAGCAGCTCCTGTGGCAGGTTCAAAGGCGGCACCTCCATGATCGTGGGATGCACCTGGCTTGACACCGCGTCATCCTGAACAGGATCGATCATGGCTGCCGAGGACTGGGCTGGATTTCTGCAGACTAAGTCGTCGTGACAGTTCTCTGGGTTCTCTGTGTTACAAGGTCAGAACCGCAGTAGATATGTAAGTCTTGAGGCCGGGGTCTCCTGCATTTAGGGTTGTGAAAAACTCTTTAGGTTTGTGCCTCCGGCTGCCATACGCATGTGAGGGCTTGGGGCTGCAACCGGATCCTGCCAAAGGGGCTCTCCCCCTAGCTCTCCGCTAGAAGATTCTCCCCTCCTAACCCTTGAGCCGTGATGCATGTGGCCAGTATGTAGTACACCAATCCTTCACCACAACAGTTGCCTGAAACGGCCGGGGTTGACATCTTACATGGTCTTCAGCTTGAAATGCGGGCCCTGAGCCCGGCCCAATCGGCTTCACTCATTTATGACTAAGGGTTACTACGAAGGCTGACCAACAGGGTTACAAAAAATACCCTCAAGCCTGAACCCGAAACCCTACGATGACCAAGAGGATTTGAGGCTTTGGCCCAATCGAAGCGCTGGGTGCGCCAGCGCCAGGCGGGGCTTATCTTGATAAAGGTTACTATAAGAGCTACTTTTAGGGTTCCTGGGCTCCTATGAGGGCTACTATAAGGGTTTAAGGCACGGGATGTTGATCGCCCCTTGCCACCAACATCTCCGCGAGAACTCCAGCGGCCCTCCCCCCAATGAGACGCAAAGGACCTAATCCTGTTCCTGACTTTAGGGTTTAGGGTTTAATTCCAGGCTGGGGCATAGTATGCTATAAATTGGTTTAAACCTATAAGTTGTCCGCCGAATGACAGTATAAACCCCAGAACCCTGTTCTAATCGCCAAGGCCCCTCTACGTCCCCCCAGCAACCCTTCCAGGAACCCGTATACGCTCTAATAAGGAACCCCTAGACCCTACTATGGAGCCCTATAGTACACTTAAAGGGAGCCTACCCTTTAAAGGGACCCGATTCTCATTCTTACGAATGCCCGCCAGACCTTCCAAAATCCCTTCATGAAGGAATATACCTTGAGCTATAGTAGGACCCCTAATATGATTTAAGTAAGGCATAGTCCTTAGGCATCTTCCTTGAAATTACGGGATAATGGAAGGTCTGGGGCCTAAACCCTAAACCCCAAACCCCTAAACCCTAAACCCGAAACCCCTAAACCCTAAACCCCTAAACCCTAAACCCGGAGCTCTATCCAATCAGCCCTTAGGCCCTAAACCCTAAACCCCACCCTGTCAAAAGAGCGCAGCACAAGGCTCAGTCGCTCCGAGGCCCGCCTCTCCTTTGAGGGTTGGAAGCTGGGGTTTTGGGGTTTAGGGCTTACTTAGAGGCCCAGGGGACTTAGTAAGTTGGTTATAAGTAGGGTTATAATTCGGGTAACTCCATTTAGGGTACTTATAACTCCATTTATGACCTACTTACTAAGTCCCCTGGACCTCTAAGTACACTCTCACAACTCGGACAAGCCAGGCGAGGGTTTAGGGTTTAGGGTTCAGGGTTTCGGCTCGCACACTCGGACAATGCAGGCGAGGCTTGTGTTCATAAGTCGGCGAGGTGAGGGTTCAGGGTTTGGGGTTCAGGGTTTGGGGTTCAGGGTTTGGGGTTCAGGGTTTAGGGTTTAGGATTCAGGGTCTTGGGTACCGTAACCTACTCAGTTTTGCAAGTTCTGACTATGAACCCAAATATGGATTTGCCAGGGCACAACAACAGAGCTAGGGCTAAAGGCCTTACTAGGGTTTTCAGTTTGAGGTTTCGGGCTTTGGGGTTGAGGGTAAGGAATTTAGGGTTCTGAGGCTGCGGCTTCGGGTCTTTGTGCTAAGAGCAGGAGGCAAAAGGGTAGGAACAACGACCCTGAACGTGTCGGGTTGCGATACTACGCCGCCGGTCTCTGAGGATTTCTCTCGTCGTGCCTCGTGCCATTCCTGTAGCCAACAGAACTTGTAGGGTAACCGACAACGCTCCGGCCCTTTGCGTGTTGGTCATGGCTTTGGATAGGACGCCCCACTGTCGGAAAACGTCATACACTCAAAAATCCTCGCCCTATACAGCCTCAAGGGCCAAAGCCTAACTTTGGGCTCCAGACAAAGAAGTCCCTAAACCCTTAACCCGACATCCCAAACTAGGGTCTGGGGTTAAACTAGGGAACTGGCACTTTCCAGCAAGGCTCCGTGTTCAGCGGCTGAGAGGAGACACTGGGCCTCCGCTCGCCATCCGGGCGTGGCTTCGCCATGGCGCGCGCCACGCCCCCAGCCGCAGGCGGGAGGCAACAGCAAACAACCCACTGCCAACACAGGGGCCTCAATATCTGGGCTCTAGACTTCAGACCACGGGGAATTCAATTCTTCGGTTGCATTAGTATGGTTCTGATAGATTACCCGCTCCTCAGGCCCGGCTTCTGTAAGCCCAAATCCAGCCAAATCCCAAAGGTCCTAAAGCTCTCCCGGGGCTGGCCCATGCATTTCTGGCACTTGAGAAATAAGTCTTATGGCCGCTTGTTGTGGCAGTTGTCGTTCCAACGGCCTGCCATACAACCTAAACCCCAAACCCTAAACCCTAAACCCTAAACCTAAACCCCAAACCCTAAACCTAAACCCCAAATCCTAAACCCAATGTTGCTGGCATCATTGGAGGAAGCCTTCGAGTTCTAGCCATCCTCTCGTCTTCGCGCTGCTTGCTGCTCATCCGGAGGCAGGGCTTGATACCAATGCTGCAAGGCGTTCGGCTAACAGTGCGATAAGCCCACCCAGACCTTCCAATCTCCCTCAGACCTTTAAATATGATAGGATCCCTCATATGGTTGAAGTATATTCCTTAATTTAAGGGTTTTGGAAGGTCTGTACCCTGGGAACAGCACGTACTACATGGAGCACCAGAATACGTATTGCATGAGGGCTTCGACTCTCACACTGGCAGTGTGAGCGTTAAGGGCTTAGGGTTTAGGGTTTAGGGGTTAGGGTTGAGGGTTTAGGGTCTTATTAGGTTTCAAAGCTGGGCACTGGCCATCTTCTACAGCCATGCTAGCTGACCATGCTTTGCCCTGCCAGAACCTGACCGGACCTCGCCTCATGTTGCCTTGTTGTACCTCGCTTCGGTCACCCTACCCCCTTTTTTTGCCACTGGGATTCGAGTCTTGCCGACCTTGACCTTTGCAAAACCTAAACCCTAAAAGACATCCTTAGGCCTTATCATATAGTGAACCCCAGAAAGTTGGAACATGGATGTCGGATGATGAGTGCTAGGATTCCCTATACATTATCTTAGGGCCATTAGGATAATGATGCTCCACCATTCTGGTTACTACTTTAAACCCTAAACCTCCTGGACTCTAGACCGCCTGAGAATATAGGACCCTTAATAATTAGAAGCGGGTTTTGGTGCCCATTCTACTATAATTATACCAAGGAGCCCCCAAAATAATACAGGTAATTATTAAGTGAAGCCCCTATATTAACCCCTTAACCCCCCTAAACCCTAAACCACCGAAACCCCTAAACATCCTTACTTAGAGGCCCACGTGACTTAGTAAGTAGGTTACAAGCAGAGTTACAAGTACCCTAAATTGAGTTACACCAATTATAACCCTACATATAACCGACTTACTAAGTCCCCCGGGCCTCCAAGTAAGCATCAAACTTCAAACCTCCGACCCCAAGATAGAGCCCTTATAAAAACCCTATGGACGCCCATAAATGGATTTAAAGGACCCTAAAAAAGGACCGGAATCCAGAGAACTACCGCATGCGCTGGAATCCTCTGGTACATCAGGTCATGGGCTTGCCCTTTATGTTTAGACTGGGTTTAGGGTTAGGAGTGGAAGCTTTGTCTTTTGGTGGGTGAGGGCGCCGGCTTCAGTTTTTCTGGTGCTTTGCGACAGTCGAATAGATCCGCACATAGAACTTTTCAGCAAGCGTGCGCGGTGCGCGGCGCACAGAGTCGTTAGCTGGATGCCTGCAGCACCAAGCCGTCTCCCGGCGAAGCCATTAGCTAGTTCTAGGACCGACGCCTGAGCCAGCGACAAGATCACAAGGTTATTGGCATATTCGTCAGTTAGCAAAACAGCTGCTCCTACCTGCTATGCGACTGTGCATGCCGGCACACGTACGTTTGTGCATGTATCTGTTTCAGGTGTAGCCCATTCTTCATGCTTGATTACAGGCGTGTTTGTACATGAACTCTTGGACGGCGAATCTCGCTAGGTCCAAAGCAAAAACACCGCACAAAGCTGTGGCTCAAACGAGCTGTCCTAGAGCTCTTGTGTGTACAAGGCTGGGCCACTTCGTGGTACCAGGAAGCCAAGTTGAAAATTAAAAAGTTTTGCATGACCGCCTTGGAAAGTCCGGCCCGGATTTCAGGCTTTGCCACCTGGAAGGACTTCGGAGGCCACATGCCTTCACATCACAACCTGCGGCGGAAAAAGATGCCATGGGACACAAGCAGGAGGGACACTTCCAGGGACAAGTAACCCCCCCCAGCTGGCTGAAGACTAGAAACTTCGACTCAAACTGAACATCCGCGAGACCGAAACCCCTTCTTTTATCCTTCGAAACCCTAAACCCAGAACCCTAAACCCCAAACTCTAAACTCAAAACTCTAAAAACTCAAAACCCCAAACCCTAAACCCCAAAACCTAAAAACTCAAAACCCTAAACCCTAAACCCCAGGCCCTAAACTCAAAAAACCCTAAAAACCCTGCGCCGAGGTGCAGCTGCACCCGGCGTGTCTGGGCGCGGCGCTGGTCCAGGCGTCGGCTCAAGGCCTCTTGAACAGTAGGGGTTTAGTGGTTTAGGGCTTGGGGTTTAGGGTTTAGGGTTTAGGGCTTAGGGTTTGGGGTTTAGGGTTCAGGGTTTTGAGTTCCTCCCACCTAACTGGGCCAAGGTCTCAGGGCTTAGGAAGTCTAGGACTCATAGGATTTCGGGTCAGAGGTTGGGCTTATGGTTTAGTCGCATTTGTGGACTAGCTGAGGGCTTTTGCGAATGTCGCTGTCTTTGAGGTAGTGCCTGTGTGGGGTTTGGCGTGCCATCTTTAAGATTGATGAACATAGCTGCGAGCAGGGATTTCTGGAGCACAAATGCAGAGGCAACAAGGAGTCACGACACAAACCAATCCAACCATGTCAACGATCACATCGCGCTCCGCTGTGGTCAAGAGTTGTGCGCATGCAGGAGCAGTAGACGCTTCAAAGCGCCGAATACATGCCTGCAGGCAAGAAAATGCCATTCCGGCGGTCCGGTGTTGGCAACTGAGTGCACCCTGCGCCACCGTTGGTACAATGCCTGCAGACTGAAGTCCAACAGCGGCACTGCAAGCCACAAGACAAAATGCCATCGATGGCACGGCGATGTGGAGGATCCTCCAAAAGTCCGGCGCGAGATCGGCACTCTGCGCAAAATAGAGAAACTGCAATACACGAGGCAAGCGCCCTAGACCTCAACCAACAAGTCTGAACCCCAAACTTGAACCTCAGAATCCGAAACACGCCTCCAAGCGCTTCGCCTCGCCTCAGAGTGGGGCTTTCAGTTTCTGGTGACGACGTATGATTACGGTGAGAAGGTTTACGGTTTGGGATTTGGGGGGTGCTGTGTTCTGGCTTCATGGGTTCAATTGGCTTCATATGTAGCGGGTCGCATCTCTGCAGGTGACATGGGGTGCCAATAAACCCTGAACCCTAAACCCTTTCTGCAACAGCCTTTCCACTCCCTCAACCCTAAACCCTCAACCCTAAACCCTAAACCCTAAACCCTAAACCCTAAACCCAAAATAGTCAGGAGGCATGCCCATGGTTTAGGGCATCAGGGGTGTTGAGGGGCAAACTTGCAGCTTCGCTCGTGAGGTTTGGGCCTTGGCCTGCTACCAGTAAAGAATATTAGGGCTTATAGTATATAGGGATTATAGGGTTTAGGGCTTCGGGCTTAGGGCTTATAGTATATAGGGATTATAGGGTTTAGGGCTTAGGGCTTATAGGGATTGTAGGGGGATTATAGGGTTTAGGGCTTAGGGCTTATAGTATATAGGGATTATAGGGTTTAGGGCTTAGGGCTTATAGGGATTGTAGGGGGATTATAGGGTTTAGGGCTTAGGGCTTATAGGGATTGTAGGGTTTAGGGCTTATAGCATTCAAACTTCCTGCGATCGAGCCGAGAGTGGTGAACACAACTTCATGTCTGCGCAGAAACTCTACGGCCGCCCTCTCAATGAACCTACTCAGAAGCAGAAGCAGAACAGTTATGAGACTCGAAATGCAAGTGGAAACGCGATGACTATACACCGAGCTGCGCAGACGGATATCTGTGCTCGGGTCACCCGCTTCTCCAGCTGCTGGCGCTGGTTGGCCAGGAGGCCTTCGTAACGTAGAGACACGGACATACTGTTCATGATATACACCCTGCATTACCTCAAGGACCCTAAACTATGGGAACTATGGTTTATTCCTTATTATGGATAATGCAGGATTTATATCATCAACCGTACCACCCGAGAAGTTTGTCAAAGTGACTTCGGCCCTTGGAATAAGTCCCAGGACCCCAGGAGTGCGGTGGAAGCGAAACGGAACCGCAGGAACCGGAACCGAACCTCACCGGAACCGAACCGCACCGGAACCGAATCGCAAAAACAGTGGAAACCGAACCCGAAACAGGCTCCTTCATTGACCTGTGCCTGCCCGGCCACCGCTGAGCCCTCCATGTCTGTCTTAAGCTCCAAACACTAAGCCGACATCTGCAAGCCCAAGGGCCTGCACAAAAGAAACCAACAATGCCGCAACGCCAAAACCAGCCTTGAAGGCTTCGCCTTCGACTGGGCATCCCCCAGTACGCCGAGCAGCGCCACTTCGGCCTGACCATCGGGTAGCATAAGGGCTGCGAGTGCCCAAGAACTACCAGAAGGTAACTTAGAAACCTGACTAAGACACCCTGACCCTGAAACATAAAGACTTGAAGAACCCTGAAGAAGACATAGGGTTTCTCAACTATAGGTTCCTATATTCGGGATGCTTCTTTATGCAGCCTGTCGAAGAGCGTTTCAGGGATAAGGCGGGTTGGGCTCCAGGGCCTTGCCGACATCTTGCACATCGTCTCCAGCATAGATGGACTGAGACTCCTCTGCCTCCTCGTCGAGCCTAGGGTTTAGGGTTTAGGGTTTAGGGTTCAGGGTTTAGGGTTTAGGGTTTAGGGTTTAGGGTTCAGGGTTCAGGGTTTAGGGTTTAGGGTGTGAGGCTTGGCCGTTGGGTTTGGGAAATCTAAACATCGAACTAGCGCCAGAACGACGGGGAACACCATTTCAGGATTCACTGAGGGCGCAGTGCGGCAAAGAAGTCGCAGTAGGCATCGGGCTCAACCAGGGCAGCAATCACAAAAACTCGAGAAAGGACTTACATGGAGTTGCATGTCAAGAAGCGGGCGCTTCTGCCCCAACGAAGCGACGCGGCCCGCGAGATTTTTGACCCCCTCGGGACATCAGGAGAGATTTGCAGAGATTCCGACTGGAATGATTCGGAAGCCCTCAACCCTAAACCCTAAAACCCTAGACTCCAAACCTTAAAACCCTAATCCGTCACCCGAGGGTCAGGGAATGGCCTCAACTAGGCGCACATGCCAAAGCCCAGTGCTAGAGCCTTCGCCCCTATCGCAAGAACCGAAAGCCAACTACAAAACAGCGACCGACACCAAAACTGTGCAACAAGACACCATGGAAGGCAAACGGGCAAACTTTGCGAGGCCATCCAGTTCATTCATAACCTCAGCTGCTGGGTGTCGTGATCCCGTGGTCGTCGCTGGTTAGTTGAGGAACTCAACAGCCACGTGGGCCTTCCCTAACCCTAAACCTTAAACCCTAAACCTTAACCTCAAACCCTAAACCCTAAACCTTACACCCCCTAAACCTTAACCTCAAACCCTAAACCCTGAACCGTGAGAACTTCGGTAAAACCAAACTGCTACCATCCCGGCGTGATGCATCCAGAGGATCATGGCTCATCTTGTTGGTCGTCGGATGGCTTATAGGGATAATTATAGGGTTTAGGGCTTATAGCGATTATAGGGTTTAGGGCTTAGGGCTTCGAGGGATATTATAGGGTTTAGGCTTGGGGATTCTAGGGATATTAGGGATATTATATTATGCGGTTTATGGATCTTCAAGAGATTCTCAGAAGCGGTCTTGTCACGCATCGGTTGTCACTGCACACCACCTTCAGCTACAAAACTCACCCTAAACAGGCAAACAACTCTGAAACCAGCTCGCAGGCATGGCCTCCCCTGCCCTTTAACGTCGAGTCCGAAGCTCTCTTATGACATCCACACGCACGACACAGTTCCTGTTAGCGTTGCAGCCGATCGAGCAGATGGTTGATGCGGTGGTGCACTCAGTTGGGCAAGAGGGCCTCTCCATCCCCACTGCGTACATCCACGAAATAATCCAGCTGCATGCGCGTTGTTGAAAATTTTTGCGAAGGGAAAGATGAAAACGCCCAGCAGCCGCTCTTTGTCAACGACCGATACAACAAGAAGGTCAAAGTCAGTGATTACATAAGCGATGCGACCGAATCCCTTCCGTACTTGCTCATCCCAGTTCTATTCCCACCGCGCTTGTGGAGATTGGATGCTGTTTCCTGCACACGCCAGTGAATGCCGTCTTTTGTGAGCATGGAATCCACCGCTGCGCCGCTCGAAGGTGGGTGTCAAAGCTTTGCCAGGAGGACGCGCATGCAGCTTAACTTTCATGCGTATGGAAGCAGTTTTCAGTTGCCTCCTCGAGAGTGATGTGGGGGCAATCCCTCGGGTTGCTGCAACAAGTTTCCAAGAGCGCACCTAGGTCCTGTACCTGCCATGAAGAGTCTCTGGCCGTCATCTTCAAACATGTCTGCGCCACCATACTCCCAGGGACAGCCCACAACTAGTCGCGGTCAAGTGGGACGAGGAGCAGCAACATTCTTTCATGTCCCCGTGCGCTCTTGAATGCATAATAAGTGTTACCACGACGAGTGGCAAACTTCAACTGCAACTGAACGCACGTGATTCAAAGCCACTAGGAAGGAAAAGAGAATCCATGAGGGAGAACCCCGGCACACGGGGGAATATTGCGTGCTTGGGTGCTCGTGGCGACGCGAGCAACTTCTCTAGCAGGTGGTCCAGTGACTCCTTCTCTTTAGTGCCATTGACAGCAGACCGAGCCAGCTCACGAGCTCGTGCCTTCATGACACCTTCTGGAATAGCAGCCTCTTCCACGGCTGGAACATTCAATGATAAACCTAAACCGCAAACCCTAAGCCAGGTCAAGCATCGTCTCAAGCGAGCTTGGTTGCACACGCTTACGAGGCGTGCGTCGTAAGCCCGTGCTGTGGCCTCCTGGGTCACGAAGAAGCCAATGTGGTAGTTTTGTTGCTTGGGCTGCTTTAAAGCAAACCGTTTTAAAACACTCCAATTCGAGATTGTTCTAAAACAGTTCAGACCGCGAACGATATTGATGCATTGCCTTGTCCCAGCAAGCGCCCTTGAACTCGCTGGATTGCCAGCGATGCTCGGGTGTCCCGGCAGCACCACTCGTAGCTGTTGGCTGAAGCACCGCGGGGCCCTCCTCGGGCTGAGAGTGCTGGCAGCATGGGCCGCAGGCTGTTTCGGTGGATGCAGGTTTCCTCGATGGCCCACATCTTGTGCCGCTGAAAGGCTGCATAGGCTTGAGGCCAAACGAATGCCTCAGAAGCCTTGGACCCTCTCGAGCCTCTTTGATTCAACTGCAAGTTTGTATATTGTGGTGGCGAAGCTTGGTACGGGAAGCATTGTCAACAAAACTTGAGACGCATCCTCGAACCTTGCTGGACGGGCAGGAAAGGATGGGTCGGGCGCGGGCGTCGTCAGACCAAGTAGGCTGACATAGCTTATCATAGCTTCAACCCACAGCTGCATGGTGACAATCCTCCGCAGAGCGGCTGATAGCGGGCTTCCTCCCTGCCGTGCACGGCTCCGGGCAGACACCACTTCTTCCCAGGCGATGGACACCTGAGTAATCCCCAGGCATGATTCACGGCGTCATGCTGGTCTCCCACGCGAAGAGTTGAAAAGGGTTCCTTTGCAGACAAGACGCACGCTCTGGGGCGGCTTCGCCACACCTTAGCAGATCCGCGCCCTCAAACAGACATCATGTGCTTTTCAACCCTAGACCTGCTCATCCCAGCCATGTGCCCGAGTAGCCTGACAACCATCCCTACCGACCAGCCGAAGCCCTGACATCTGACAGTTAAAATATTGCTGGCAAGAAAATCATGATACCAGCAGAAGGTAGCAATGACAACAAGAGGATCAACAAAGGCCAATGTGCCTGCCAATATTATTATTAAGGGCACCCTTCAACAGGAGCCCTTAGAGGAACCCTTAAAGGTACCCTTAAAAACCCTTAAGACCTTAAGACCGAAAATTCTAGCCATTCCAACTCGCCACTTCCGCAGTGCGCGGGCAAAGTCTGCGGTGGCTGCAGGCTTGGGAATCCTGCAGATTATCGGCTTCAGAGCTTTAGGGGTTTGGGGGCTGGGGTTTTCAGGTTTGGGGCTTAGGTTTAGGGTTTAGGGTTTATAGGGCTTCGGGGTTTAGGGCTTAGTAGGGATGTAGGGTTCAGGGGTTTTAGGGGCTCATCGGCTTTAGAATTCTAGGGGTTTAGGGCTTAGGGGTGTAGGGCCGCTTTTCCTCTGTAAAAACTGGGAAGGTGCAATCGGAAACTGCTTCGGGATCCTTGGCTGCTTGGCCGGCCGCTGCACCTCCAGCTCCACCTCTCCAAAGACCTCCGACTGAGGCTTTGGGGAAGTTGAGGGCATAGGGCTTATCAGGCTTAGGGCTTTGATTCTGTAAAGTTTGGGTTTAAGGTTTACTGGTCTGACCACCTACTTGGCGGCTTCAGAAAATTGGGGAAATTGGCGCACACGTGTTTTGCAAGCGAACCAGAGGCAGATCCTCGCAGAGCATAGTATTCAGACCCGAATTCCTCGGATGCAAGCTGTGAAGTGCCGGCCTCTTCCAGGATACCGGAGCTCGTGCCCGAGCTCTTCGTCAGCTGCCGCCGCTGCTTCCGCGCCCTACACGAGTCATGCGCAGCCAAGTGCTCCTTCTGCAGTACACTTGCTCATGCAGGACTCATGCAAGTATCCCGAAGACTCTTGGCGAAAGATCTGCCATTAGATGTGGCGCCAAACAGGCTCTCAGAGTCCCAAAGCCGGGGTGCTTTCTTCGGATCTCTCGCTCCTTGCAGTGCCATCAAAACCCTCTGCGCCTCTTGTCGAGTCGGGGGTCATCGAGGTCATCGACCCAACCTCCTTCGCTTTGATCGCTGCCTGGGCCCCGGCTAGACGTCTTGGAAAGGGAAAAACTGTGCGGTGCTGGTCTCAGCAGGCTGGCATTGTCGTACTGAAGTTGAAGCTTGTTTGATTGCAGCTTACAGGTTTGGTCGTCAAGAGTGTCGCATCGAACATCTCCGGTTTCCTTTGTGCCCGTGGCTAAAGGCTTTCGTGCTGGAACCCATAACTCCAGAGCCTAGCAATAATGAGTCAAGAAACCCAGAATGACAAAAATGCTGGTATGACCACCTCGCCCTTCCTGCCCTAAACCCCGGCCAATCCCGACAGCCCTAACCCTAAACCCCAATCCCTGGAAGACCTTTTTGCAGCAGGCTTCTCTCTCCCTAGAAGACCTACACCCTAAACCCTAAACCCCTAAACCTCTAAGCCCCTAAACTCTCAACCCAGGAGATGCTCCGCACTTTCTGGTAGACGAGGCACTTGCCTGGGATCTTGTATCCAAGGCCTGCTCAGCGTCGGCCTCCTCATCGTGACAGCGTTTGGTGCGTAATGTAGGGGCCTCAATAATTACCTGTATATTTTGCGGGGTTCCTTGTTATAGTTATAGTAGTAAGGACCCCAAAACCCTGTTCTAATTAATCAGGCCCCTATATTGGGGTTTCGTTTGGTCCGGAGGGTTTTCCACAGGCCCGTTCATGAGCAGCATCCCAAGTGCGAACTCATGCGAGAGGCGCCTTACAAGGCGGTACTTTAAAGCATTACAGCAGCGAACGCTCAGAAAAGGAACAACGGAAGGCTGCATCATACAAATTCCCACCTCTTGAATTGAAACTAGTAACTAGCATCGGCTTAGCATGCAGGATCTGTGCCTAGAGGTCTGACTATCTGCCAGTAAGATACCCGTATAGTCCTCACACGGGACATCACCGCCGAGTGTCTCCTTACAAGATGCCATGACACCTGGAACTGCAACATACTGCAGCCCCATATATTTCAGAGGCCATGCATTTTGGTACAGGGCTTAGGGCTTTCCTGATGTATTTCAAGGGGACTTGCACTCTGCAGTCACTGAGGTCCAGAGCGTGATCCTCTAAGGTTCAAGGCTTAGGGAGTTTGAGGAAGTTCGTGGTGGCTTGTTTGTCATGGGAGTTCCCTTCAAAGACTCTGCTACTTGGCGTCTATCTTGGGGTTCCTTCTTTTCTGAAGCAAGCAAACGCCAGCTTCAGAAAGAGGCGACACAACTGACACAACCTCAAATGTTGCATCCTGACTGTGACCAATGCTTCAATGGAAGAGATAACCCCTAAGCTCAACGAACCCCGCACATCTACATCAGAACAAATCGGCAGATAGTTTGCGGCGTTTGAAACCTTACAGTTCTTGAGGGTTTCAGGTTTCGGACGTATAGTCCGGGGTGTAACACCTTCCTCAAACCGGGCCCAAGCTAGTTCTGGGTCCTTCGTGTCTGTGGCGAAGGAGACTTGGCCTCAGACTCAAGGAGAAAGGCTTGATGTCGGTGGGTTCCCTACCGCAAACCCCAGCTCTGGATTGGTGGACAGCACATGCTGGAAGCACAGCCGACCTGCAAGCATCAAATGGTCCCCGTGTTGAACCCTATGACCCTACTATAGAGCCCCTGTAAGCCGATAAAGCCCAACCATACTATGTAGGCATCAACATCAAGGAGGGATCTACTAGGAATCCAGAAGGGTTTGCTGTTGACGAGTCTATACGCAGCACTACGGAGTCCAGAGGACCTCGTCTGTCCGCACTGGCAGCCGTGCCCCTGGAGTCGTAGGATGCTCGCCTCGCTACGACGCATGTGCATACATATATACATATATATATATATATATGTGTGTGTGTGTGTGTAGATATATACACATACACATACACATACACATCTACATCTACATCTACATCTACATCTACATATACATATACATATACATATACATATAACATATACATATACACTACATATACGTAGACATCTAATATATACAGATATACAAATGTGTACAACTTCTGGATGCACCAGTTGCCACAAAACACAGCCGAATATGAGCAGGAAGAAAACCCGCCTGAGGTTTTGCTCCGTCAGCGGCAGGAAGGCAGGCTGGCCTGCGGTCAAAACGCTCACTTCTCGCATTCTGGCAAACTTCTGGGACTCCGGAGACATTGGGGTTTAGGGTTTAGGGTTTAGGGTTTAGGGTTTAGGGTTTGGGGATGTTTAGGGCTTAGGCTTAGGGTTTAGGGCACCGCCTTAAAAGCTGAATTTGAGAGACGGTTTCTCCATGGGTAGGTGTTCATTTCACAGTCAACCCTGTCTTCAAGCTGCGCATCCCTACTACAATACTACAAGGCCTTCAGCCAAAAACCCATCCACGCCGTACAGATCTCGCAGCCAACAAGACAAGACAACCCAGCTTTCGCAGTTTCATGTCCTGTTCCTGCCATCCAGTTCATGACATGTCGAAGTTCCCTACACCCTAAAACCCTGAGTCCCTAAACCCTAAACCCTAAACCGTGTTCCCTACACCCTAAAACCCTAAGTCCCCCATGGCCCTTTTCCGACTGCCTCGCCTTTGGGCGTCGCCGATGTCGGAGACTCAAGGTCGAGATTCAGATGGCTCAAGGGCGGCTGTGGATCCGTGGTCACCTCGGAGCCCTTTAGGGCGTTTGGGTTCCGCGTTCTTTCAAGTTGAAGTATTCTGAATCCTTGTGGGAAAATGGTGAATGCTGAGTGTGGTTTAGGCTTTGGTTCTCCCCTTGAGTATTGCAGTTTCTGTTTTGCCACAGAGCAAAGCTAGTAAGATGCCTGAATCCATGTTGCAGCTGGGCTCTGGGTGCCATGCCTGAATCCCTAAACCCTAAACCCTAAACACCAAGTCCTGAACCCTAACCCCCAAACCCGAAACTTTCTCCTTGCCGAGGGCACGTGCAGCTGCGGTGTGGGAGCGGAGGGAGCCTTCGTGGCCCTCAGGTCACCGACCTCCCTGCTGCCCTGCTTCTCCTGGGTTAGGGTTTAGAGTTTCGGGTTTCTCGTTTAGGGTTTAGGGTTCAGGGTTTAGTTTGGGTTTAGGGTTTAGGGTTTAGGGTTTAGTTGGGTTTAGGGTTTCGGGTTTCGTGTTTACGGCTTAAAGGTGATTCAAGCCTGTCTTGATTTTGAACAACATCTTAATTCGGGTTTAAAGGTTTCGGGTTTAGGGTTTAGGTAGTTCTCGAAATTCGGGTCCCTTTTCAGGAGCCAGAAATAAGGCGGCACCCTTATGGAAAGCTAGAAGGGGCCTGACTTTAGAGAACTACCTTAAGGTTCTTTCTAGCTGGGGAGGCTAGGAATAGGGTCTAAAGTCTAGAAGTTTGGAGGTTCAACCCTAAACCCCACAACCCCAACCCCAAACCCTTCTGACCCCTGAACCCTAATGCGGGAACTTGATTCAGAAACCCTGGTCCTCAAAACATTAAGATCCCTAAAAAGAACGCGAACAAAACCCCAAGGTTTCTTAATCAGAGTCCGATACTTATTAACAACCTTTTTATCGAACCCAGGCTCTTTGCTATTAACAACCTTGTTTTTGAACCCAGGCTCTTTGCTATCAGCTGGGGAGCAGGCATGACAATTGCACGCCTGCCTGGAGACTTGGGCTATTAACAACCTTAAACCCCAAACCCGAAGCCCTAAACCCTAAACCTTTCTTACACCTGGGCTACGCATATGCCAGGAACCGAGGCGCCGACTGTGCTGTGGACTCGTGCCACGCGGCTACCCCAGACGGCAAAAAATCGATCCACTGGTCATCTCAAACTTCAGGATGCAACGACCATGTAACATAGGGGCCTAGATAAGTACCAATACCATGTTGGGGGCTCCGTATTATAAGTATAGTATAATGCGCCCCCAAACCCTGTTCTAATTATTCAGGCCCCTATAATAGTAGCTACAACTCCAAGATACTTGAAGATTCGGGAAGATCAGGAATATCAGACAAAATCACCTCACCCCAAGGAGCGCTGACGCGGACGAAGAGGCTAAAGAAATCCTGCGAAGCCCTGATGAAGAGTGCGAACAAGATCGCGTTGACTTCTAAGTACCATGGGGCCTTTCTCCGGATCCAGCCTAAACCCTTTTCTTGAGCACGGACTCGAGCTGTATGCCGACCAGACCACACATGAGAGCCCAGCCTAAACCCTAGACGCAAACCCTAAACCCTAAACCCTAAACCCTAAACCCTAAACCCTAAACCCTAAACCCACCACCCTCAAAACCCGAAGCGCAGCCAGGTATCCAGGCCACGGCGGATCACGAAGGCAAAGGCTCCCCCATAGCCTCAGCTTAGGGTTTAGGGTTTAGGGTTTAGGGTTGAGGGTTTAGGGTTTAGGGTTTAGGGTTTAGGGTTTAGGGCTTAGGGGTTTAGGGGTTTAGGGTTTCGACTCACACACTCGACCAAGGAAGGCAGGGCTTAGGGTTTAGGGTTGCCCCCCGTTTTTTCACGAACCAAGCCCAGGAAGGGTCTAAAGTTCTCCCCTTTAATGTAGATACCAGTTTGGGGGTTCCATATGATAATTATAGTAGAATGGGCCCCAAAACCCTAGTCTAATTCTTAAGGCCCCTAAAACCTAAACCCTTATAGTAACCCTTATAGAACCCTTTAACGAACCCTCAAAAAAAGAACCACCCAAGACCCTATTCTAACTACTAAGGCCCCTATATGGGAGTTTCCGAAAATAGGGGACCCTAATATAGTACCCCAAATCGTAGGATCCTTATTATAAGGACCCCAAAATGAGGTACCCCTAATTTTCGGAAACTCCCACCCTAAACCCTAAACCCTAAACCCTAAACCCTAAACCCTAAACCCTATTCTAACTACTAATTACCCCTATATCCTTTGCTATCGAAGCAGCCTTTCCGGGCCCCAAAACCATCCTCGGAGCTCATGTCCGAGACGCCCTCCAGGTCCTGCGCTCCGGCTTGGGGGGTTTGGGGGTTTGGGGTTTAGGGTGTAGGGTTTGGAGTTTTGGGTTTAGGGTTTAGGGTTTAGGGTTTAGGGTTTGGAGTTTAGGGTTTAGGGTTTAGGGTAAAAAATTCGAAGGGGAGAAGTGTTTAGGGTTTAGGGGTTTAAAGGTTTAGGGTTTCGGGGTTTCGGCGTTTGGTGTTTTTTGCCTCCCACCTATGTTGCTAGGACGAGCCTGCATTGCAGGATACAGCTAGGGTTTAGGCAGAGGTGTTGGGGATTTGGGCTTTGGGGTTTGCAGTTCAGGGGCCTTTAGTGGGTCTCAGGGTACCGGACAGGTTTAATTAGGGGTTTCGGGCTTGGGACTGGGATCTTGCAAGGAGTTTGAGAAAGGACCATATCATATGCTGTAGATCCCTATTTGTAGCAACTTACCTGAAGAACCCAAAACCCACTTTTTTCTAGGTTCTGATTATAAACCCTAATACGGGATTTATAGGGACTCTACCAAAAAAGTAGGTTTGGGGTTCTTAAGGTAGACTGACTTCCTCAGACCCATAGGCCTCAATGCCGTAGGATGCCGCGCGCTGCTGCTCCCGGAGAGTCCATCTTCCACCGCCGCTGGCCTCGGTGCGAGGATCGGGCTTCAGAAAAGTAGGGGAAAAGTAGGGGAGGGTTTAGGGTTTAGGGTTTAGGGTTTAGGGTTTAGGGTTTAGGGTTTAGGGTTTAGGGTTTAATGTCCAGGGGTTCTTAGTACAGGGGTGATGCTACTTCGTATTGCCTACTATCTAAGGTCTACCTAGATGAGGGTCCTTGTTCTAAGTATTATGCGGCTCGATACTGTTTAAGGATGCTTATGCCTCATGTAAGGGCCTTAGTAATTAGCAGAGGGATTTGGGGCGCATTACGCTATAATTATAATAAGGAAGCCCCGAAAAAATATAGGTAATTATTGAGGCCCCTATATCATATTGGATTAAGATGAGTTGATTTTTGAAGCTCCCACTTCATTTCCCCAGATCCCGTAAACCCTAAAACCCTGAAACCCTAAATCCTACGGAGCATGCAAAGGCTCCGATGCTTTTGACAGAAATCCTCCAGACCCGACCCTTCACCCCTGCATCCCGGCGAAGGACTACACTTCGAAACTGCCACGGCTTAGGGTCTAGGGTTTGGGGAAGTAAACTGGAACAGCAGAACAGAATGGAACAGAATAGAACAGAAGAGAATAGAATAGAATAGAACAAAACAGACTACAGTAGAGTAGAGTACACACCAGACTACACAAGACTAGACTAGAAAAGACTAGAGTAGTAGAGTAGAGAAGAATGGAACAGAATAGACTAGAAACCCTAAACCCAAGATGATGTAGCCCGGGCGGCGCTGGAGGCCTGAGAGGCCTTAGAGGCGTCATCACCCGAAGCGCTGCTACCCGCAGTGGAGCCATCGCGGGGCAGCCACTCGCCTCTCTCTTCTTCAGAGTTCAAAGCTCAAAGTTACAAAACCCTAAAGCCCTAAACCTTCAACCCTGAACCCTACAGCCCTAAAGCCCTAAACCTTAAACCCTAAAGCCCCAAAGCCCTTAGGCCCTAAAGCCCCTAAAAACCCTAAACCCTACACCCTACAGTAAGGCCTTTCGAGGAGAGTACAAGGCGAGTCCAAGGCTCTCACGCGAGAATCCGCTTCTCAGTACGTAGTAAGACTTATATAGTACTTGACGAAGTAAATCAGTGCCTTTCAATTTTAAGGTTTGGGGTTTTGGGTTTAGGGCTTAGGGTTCTTCTGAGTACTGCATTGCAAGTTTCGGGTTTAGGAAGTTTAGGGTTTGGGGTGTAGGGTTCTTGTGATGACTGCATTCCACTTGAGGCGAGCCACGAGGATTCTGCTGCATCGATGCCATGACGTCTGCCATCACCTTGCGCTGAGGCCTCGTCAGCGCCTTGCTCCGTGCCACACGCACCGTGTGCGTGCGCGGCGCGAAGAGCTCGTCCACGCCCCCATCCGAGGCATCTTTGGCCAGAGAGGCTGTGGTCTTTGCAGGCTTGCGCGCTTCCTGTGCCTGCAGAGGCGTCTCTTGGCGGGCCTGGAGCTGCCTCTGAAGCATCAGGGCCAGGGACTGCACGGCACGGACCGGGTGCTCGATGGCTGCGGCCGCCACCCGCAAGCCTCCAGCTGCACTGACCTGAGGCCGCAGCAGTGGGTCACAGGCCAAGTTGTGGAGCAGACCGCAGCCCTGCTGCTGCAGCTCCTGGCCCAAGCTGCCCGCTACCATAGTAATAAAAATAACAATTATTAATAATAATAATATGAATAATCATATTACCAATGATTTTACTAATAATACTAATGATAATAGAGAGACCCTGCTCTGACTCGTCAACAAAAAACGACTCTCTGTGAAGCTCTTCTCCTGGCTCTGCGGGTGCGCCATCAACGCCGCCACTGCCATCTCTAACCCGCCAGCTTCACAGATAGCTCGCTTGTTCTCCGCCAGCTGAGAGGTGAGGTTGCAGAGGGCCGCAACAGCCTCGCAAGTGCCATATACGAGTAGTTCTCTCTCTCTCTCTCTCTCTAAATCTCTCTTTCTGTCTCTCCTTATCTCTCCCTCTCTCTCTGCCTCTCTCTCTGTCTCTCTCTCTCTGCCTCTCTCTCT